CGTCCATGTCAGTGGCAGCAGAGGTGGGACTGGAAAGACACATGAATTGGTTGGTCAAAACAAGAAAATCTTCAGTCGACCTATGAAAACGCAAGCGAGATATTCACCCCGAAGCAACGGGGACGTCCATCTTTATCCGTGGCAAAGTCTTCCGAGCCTTGTGAGGAGCAACTTTAGGATGCTTGGCCACCTTCTCCGTCGGCTCCGGGGTCGACGTACGTGTGCGCTTCTGAGTATTGGCACTCGGTGCCACGCTCTTCCCACGCCTGCCAGACGGATCATGCTGCTGTTTGGATCGACATTCGGAGCACGGCGGGGAGTCGACTTCTTCCTCCTCGTCTTACTCCTCTCTCTCCTCCTCCTCCTCTTCTCCCGGAGACTCCCACTCGCCACTCTCCTCCGCACTGTCCTCTCCCTCCTGGTCCTGCTCCAAATCCTGTTCGCCGTTGGGCATCGAATGCATCTCAGTGAATACCTGCAGGGCAAATCAGTTGAGTAAGAGTCAGTCAACATTAAGTATGGACGGAGCATGAGCGGGAGGCACTCGGAACAAAGAGTATACCTTGTCGGGCGGGTTACCATCGCTGAAGGAGACGGCTCGCTGGATCCTCTGGGGTTGTCCTGGTTGCCTGTGATGCTCCTCAGCCACAAAGCTACGATTTCGGTCGGCACCTCTTCTGGATGGACCCGAGCGGTGTCGTCCGGTCCGGAATACAACCACATTGGGTGATCACGGGCCTGGAGAGGCTGGATGCGTCGACTAAGGAACACTTCCAGCAAGTCCAGGCCGGTAACGCCATCATTGATAAGCTGGACCACTCTATCCACCAACATCCTCGTCTCCACAGTCTCAGCAGCGGTTACTTTCAATGGGGTAGGAGTCTGAACACGGTCAAATGAGAAGTGGGGAAGACTAGTCGACTAACCTGGAGCGGCTACATCTTGGCAGTAGAACCAGGTCGACTGCCAGCCTCTAACAGATTCATGGAGAGTCATGGCGGGAAAAGCACTCCTATGCCTCTTTTGGATACCTAAACCCCCACACATCTGGATGACGTGGGTTTTCAAGTCACTCAACTTTGCCTTTTTTACCGACTGGGAGCGAATGGTGAAGATATGTTTGAAAAGACCCCAGTGCGGTCGACATCCTAAGAAGTTCTCGCACATCGATACAAACGCAGCTAAGTACGTGATGGTATTGGGAGAAAAATGGTGGAGCTGAGCGCCAAAGAAGTTCAAGAATCCCCGGAAGAAAGGATGCGGGGGGAGCGAGAAACCCTGGTCGACGTGAGTGGCGAGCAGAACACACTCACCCGGTCGAGGTTGTGGTTCCATCTCCCCCTTCGGCAGCATCGCCGCTCCCTTGGCAATCAATCCGGACTCCTCCAGCTCGGCCAGATCCTCCTGCCGGACCGAAGACCGGATCCAATCTCCCTGGATCCAGCCCGGCGGCAGCCCCGCACGCGACGACGACCCGCGGTTCTGCTTCTTACCTTTCGCCGCCCCCGTCGCCTTCTTTGGGCACTCTAGCACCGCCGTCTTGTCCTTCACCATGGCGGGGAAGCGACGGCGTCGAGAGCGGAGGTGTTGGGCGCGGTGGAGAGGCGGAGGAGAAAGAAGGGGAAAACGGCATGCACAGTGCAAGCGCCTTGGCCCCATCACCTTATAAAGGGTCAGTTCCGAGTGACTGACGCGTGGGACCAGGCAATCCCGTCAAATCCCGCAACAGTTGCGTGCAGCGTACGTGGCGAAAAGGGCGGCGCGGTAATCGAGGCATCACTGCTTATCTGGAACGCCCGTTTTGGCGCTCTTCGGCCCGCGTGCTTCCCCGAAATTTCGTATCCCGCGAAATCCGGGATACACTGCAGACAATCGCGTCCAGGATCTCGCGCTCTAACGCAGCACTCGGCGCATGAGGTCACCAGTTCAGTCGACGGATCACTGAATGGATCAAGGCGACTGAGTCGACACTGAAGTACCGACGCAAGCGTTCAGTCTTGCTAAAAACACTCGCAAAGACACAAAGCTCGGAGCGGGTTCAACTTCGACCTACTTTCCACTCGCACCTTAATCCATTCGGGGGCTACTGATGAGGATACATACCTAGGGTAGGGTCATAGGCCTGACCTACACGTCCTACCCAAGGTCACTACCCTAGAAGATAAAAGGATGAAGAGACAACAGGAGAGCGCCAGTCGAATACGTCGAGTGCAATCCACTCGACGGCCATGACACTCGGAGGTCCTCCTCCCAACAATCACTCGACCATATAGAGAGTCACTCGACCTATCGAAGTCCAGGAGTCAGAAAGGACCGCAACGGTCGGACGTTCACTCCGTAGTCTTTATAGACATTAACAACACTTAAGGCTAGCGTTACCAGTAATGCCCCTTACTTTATGTACATTAAAACCCTTGTAATGGAGGTGGGCAGGGGTCCAGGCACACTCTATATAAGCCACCCCCTCCTCTGGCACAAGGGTTCGCACCCCCAATAATATCACACACATAATCCAATCGACCGCCTCCGGGCACCGAGACGTAGGGCTGTTACTTCCATTGTGAAGGGCCTAAACTCGTAAACCTCGTGTGTACACCTTCACCATAGCTGAGATCTTGCCTCTCCATACCTACCCCCCTCTCTATTGTCAGTCTTAGGACCACGACAGGTATGGGATTCAAGGACTGCAGACTATTCAACCAAGCAATGTTGGCTCGGCAAGCTTGGCGTATTTTTGTCAACCCCGAATGTCTTTGCGCGCGCGTCTTGAAGGCAAGGTATTTCCCTAATGGACGACTAGAAGATATTGTTTTCACTAGCAATGCATCGCAAACTTGGCAGTCCATTGTGCATGGGTTGGAATTGCTGAAGAAAGGCTTAGTCTGGCGCATCGGTAACGGGCAGTCGGTCAAAATTTGGCGGGACTCTGTTGGTCGGCCACCAATCACGCAACAGGGGAGGTGCCAGCTCCGACGAGTGTCAGAACTCTTGGACGAGCATGGTGCATGGCGCGGAACCCTACTCCAATAGTATTTTATGCACGTTGATGTCTAGGAGATACTGAAGATTAAAGCGTCCCCTCGATTGGGGGCGGATTTCCTTGCTTGGGGTGCAGAACGTATTGGTATCTTCACCGTACGTAGCACGTACTGGCTGGCGCTTGAGGACAAGCTTCGTCCTTCTTCAGTCGCAGCGAGCAGGGCACCGTATGGGCGACGTGTCGTCTGGGCATTATTATGGAGGTGCCCTGCTCCTCCTAAGGTGCGTGTGTTTTCGCGTTTGGCTACTAACTCCCTTGCCACATGGTCTAATAAACTCACTTGACCCATGGAGGTTACTGATATATGCCCATTATGTGGTCTCGAGCGCAAGGACACTTTTCATGTGTTTTGTAGGTGCCCACAGGCTGTGCACTTATGGCGAACTATGGCGGAGGTGTGGAGTATACCGGACATCGAGTCAGTCCGTAACACCGGTCCAGAGTGGTTCCTGAACCTTATTGCAGAATGCAATGAAGGGGACCGGCTGCGCCTGATTATGTTGTTGTGGAGATGTTGGCATGTTCGTAATGAGATCACTCATGACAAACCATCGCCGCCCGTGGAGGTATCTCGCCGCTTTTTGCAGAGCTACGTGACCTCATTGCTCGGGATTGAGCAGTATCTGCAGGGTGACTGGGACAAAGGGAAGATGACCATCCAGCAGGAAGGTGCAGAACAGCCTATACCGCATGTGGGAGAGGTGACACGAACAGTCCGCAAATGGAGTCCCCCGTCTGCCAACTGGACGAAGCTGAACGTGGATGGTTCCTTCTCCCATGAGGACGGAAGGGCCGGGGCGGGAATGGTGCTCCGCGACCAGGAAGAGGGCATCATCTTCTCTGCGTGTCGCTCACTATGGTCATGTCCGGACCCTCTACATGCTGAGTTGGCTGGGTGCATGGAGGGCATAGCATTAGCCCTCCAATGGACCGAGCTGACATTCATCGTCGAGAGCGATAGTTTGCAGGTAGTGCAGCTGATCAATGCCCCAAGCCAAGACCGCTCGCAGTACGCCATGGTGGTTTCGAAAGTGAAGCGTCTTATGAGTGAAAGGGAGTGTCGTTTTGTTCATGTTTCTCGAGAGCAGAATAATGTAAGACATGTGTTGGCTAACTTTGGGAGAACGAAAGACCGTACTGTTGTCTGGCTCCGCTCCGGCCCGAACAATATCCCTAGCTTGTGTAGGGAGGACCTTCTTGGCTCTTGAGTAATACAAATCCCTTTTACCCCGCAAAAAAAGGGGAACCTTTGCCCTCTGGACCATTTCCCTTGCTCGGGTTGCGCAGCTGCACTTCAGAAAGCATTTTGTGTGTGTGTGTGGTCTCGCTACTGTTCGTGCCTGTATGCACACAGCCGGTGGCTAGCAATGCAATGATCTTGTAAAATTAGTCAACTTTTTATGGTTGAGCGTAACAAACGGGGTGAACCACCTCGTAACACTAAATGAACCACGAGCTTGGCATGCATGCCTGCCAAGAAGGTCAAAGAAGCGGCGACGCGGCCGTCGTCACGTACGCGCGTCATGACAATCGGCGCGATCAGCCCTTCTCGGAGCGAAAAAGTCTCCTGCACCGCCGCATGCAAACTCGGAAGCTGACACAGCCACGCTGACGGCCACGCCGGCAGTTAGCGCGACACAGCCATCGATCTCGCCAAGAGAGACGCATACCACGTCCGGATCGATACATACCAGCCTTGCTCGCATCACAGAACGGTCGTAGGGATTTCCATTTCCACTTTCTTTATCGAGATTCATTCAGCAAACACCCGAGCATGGATGGACATGGCCCGATCATGCATTTCTTCCAAGTTCCAAGAAAAGCTGAGGTGGGTATGGCGGTAACATTTCGACATGGAAGCTAACCTACTAGCTAGGGGAGGGGAGGGGAGGGGAGATCGAACTGGCGAAAGAAGCGGATCTATGATCCGTCTATGTGCATTGCTGCTGCAAGGATGGCGTTACAGCCAGGCTTCTTGATCGAAGCCTGCAGGGTCCGGGTAGTAGTGGTCGAACGGGTCGACGCTGAGGCCGCCGGGGACGACGAAGCCGGCGTCCCAGCCCGAGCCAACGTCCATGATGCCATCCATGCCGAGGAGGTACATTGGCTCCGGCCACTCCGCCGCCTCCAGACCGGACGCCGCGGACGAGGAGCAGGACGGCGAGACGACCGAGGCAGGGGAAACAGAGCAATTGCTGCTTGCGGTGGGCGGTGGCGCCGTGACCTCGTGCGGCTGGATCAGCGGGACCGCCTTCACGTCCTCATCCTCCACTTGCTGGCAGTGCTCGGCGCCGTCCTGCTGCTGCCACGCGGTGGTGGTCGGCGGCGGCGGCGGCGGCTGTTGCGCGGGACGAGGGGGCACTTGATCCAGCGGGCGGTGGGTGACGGGGTCGATGCCCATCTTGCGGAGCTTCTTCTTGATGTGGGTGTTCCAGTGGTTCTTGATCTCGTTGTCCGTCCTCCCGGGCAGCTGCGCCGCGATCTTGGACCACCTGCGCGCATCACCACGGGCATGGTCCATGAGCGCCGCCGGCCACCGCAGGAGACTGAGACTCCAAATTAAAACTCGAGCTACACTAGACACGCACCTGTTGCCGAGCTGCGCGTGCAGGTCGATGACGAGCTGCTGCTCCTCGTCGGAGAGGAGCCCCCGCTTGAGGTCGGGCCTCAGGTAGTTGGTCCACCTCAGCCTGCAGCTCTTCCCGCACCTCAGCAGCCCTACGCACACAGTGCAACATATCCATGCCAAGTGAGAACGTCAAGCCGGAGCAGAGAGGACTGATGGGTTCCATGCATGGCATGCACACGTTCGGGTCAGCTCACCTGCGAGCTTGGGGACGACGCGCCAGCAGTAGTGGCCGTGGGTGAGGAGGAAGCCGACGAGCTTCTGGTCCTCCTCCGCCGTCCACGGCCCCTTCTTCAGCCCCACCTTGTCGCAGCACGGCTGCCTCCCCATCTGCCCCTGACTGAGTGATGGCTCGATCGCTCTGCCCTTCTCACCCGGGAATTTTGGGAGCCGCTGTTCGCTGCGACTGTGTGTGGGTGTGTTTGACGACGGCCTGCCTGTCTCCGTTCCAAGTAAGACCGGTGCACCAGAGCTCCATTTATAGACGGACGAGGGTCAGTCAGGTCGCGGTGGAGCGAGGGAGAGAGAGACGTTGCGGGGCGAGGGTGTACGTGGCGGGAAGAGAGGGCCGGGAGGGTCGTACGTGTGAGCCCTTCTCTGAGCCAGGGCGCCATGCTTACGGCGGCAACTGTCGCCGGGCTCGGCTCCAGTAACGCCACCATGCACCTCCTCCACTATGTTCACTGCTCATCCTTTCTGACTTTCTCCGGTTCTCCCAGTAACTGAACTCTCAGCTCAGGTATGTACGTCGCTCCAAACTTGACGTTGCATGCACTTTCATTCCGAAGACATTTTTCTCTTCCTCGTAAAATTCCATAAGGAGCCAAAGCGTCAAAAAATTCAAAAGAGCTCATCCTAGCTACTACCTCCGTCTTATAAATAGGAGTAAGATCGTTTTGCCACTCTTAATTAAGCTCCCCTCTTTGCAGGGAGAACCGCCGAAGAGAATGTCAACGAGAACTCCTCTAGGGAAGAGGCAACATCATTCGACCCTTCACAAATCTTAAATCCAAACTCCGACGTGCTAATAAGTAATCACTTTTTCCCCCAAAAAATATAGGGACTTTTCGAGGTTGACATGCAAATCTTCTCCGCGTACCCTTTCCAAGTGTTGGCAAAACAGAAACACGGCGGTCACCGTCGCCCTTTACGTGCGAACGTTCACCCCTCTCCTTTTAGATGGCAACAGGAGGTGGATTTGCTACGTGGGTCTTTTGTTGGAGTGGAGTACAGCTTTGTTTGAACTAGCTCTGGTGAAGTCACGTCCCATTGATCGAGTCGTGGGGGTCAATTGAAAATTTGAATTGTATAGGTCAACGGAAAACAGACAGTAAAATGCGTCCTACGCCGTGTTTCTTGCTGTATAGTTTACACCAGTTGCACAAGTTTGATGCAATTTGAGGAGCTTCATGCATATTTTTCAAATTATACCAAATTTGTGCATCCGACTAGTTCAACAAGAAATTAACTATGCTAGGCCCGAGAAAAATAGTATCATGTCTACCTCGAAGATTTCGTGGATAGGTCATAGGCCTGGTGGCAGAGGATAGAGATTTTTCATTTTAACTCAAGTTTAGTTTCTTATTCCATAGTGCGAGATGTTTTTGTTTTAAATATGTACGCATAAGTGTGGGCGCGCTTGCATGTTTTTCGCGATAAAAAAGACGTACCACTTACATTAAAAGAAGGTGATTACAATCTCTAACCGAGGCCAAAATAATTACAACACATTACCTCAAACCCACGCGCCACCCCAGCCTCGTAGGGGAGGGCACGTGGAAGGCCACGCGTCAAACTGCGACAGAGAATACCGACTATCACTGCTCTACCATCGTGTTGGTCTCGTCGCCTCTTGTTGAAGATGAAAGCTGGTAAAACCCTAACATAGGATGAAAAAGGCATTTTCGCCTAAAATCTTTAGAACTAGAGGAACAAAGATTCACAGATGCTAAGAATCATGGGGAGCCACATGCTTCAGTGAGAACCAACCCCTTAAAAAGGTGAAGGGTGCCTTGAAGAGGCGAAAACGACGCAGGGGAACAATCATACAGAGCAATGGGATTCAAAGAGCACAATTTTTGGCCTCCTTTGATAGCGGTTGAGATGGGTACAAACGTGTAGTGGCGGAGCTAACATCCAAAGTATGGGTGTACAGAGTCCCCTAAATTCTCTCTTTACTCACGTTTCCTCATTTTTTTGATGTACATTGTTCTATATATGTGAGTTATACATGGTATTCAGAAAATTTGCAAAAATAATGGGTTGTACACTTGTACACCCAAATCCTAGTGTAGAAGTGTAGAAGCATAAGAAATCGTCAACAATACAAGTGAATGAATCTGGCGCCAAATCATGGAAGTTAAATAATACGTCAGATCCAAAGAAGTTTGCTTCGACCGCTGGTCATCGGATGAAAAAATAAGGGTGATCAATTCAGTCAACCAAAGGGGAAAATATCGACAGGAGGCACCACACCATTATGGTGTCAAAACTCGAAGGGAGGAAAATAACAGTGTGCACGAGTAGATCAGTATAACATTATTTAAAGTGGAGTTGCCAAGATGAATCAAACTGTTGTTGTTGTCGAAGAAGACGAGGAAGAC